TTTTGTTTTCTGTAGTATGTGTTACAGTGGTTTAGATGTTATGCTTTTTTATTGGTATAGTTTGTTCCTAGAAAATTTTATACATGCATATATACTCAAACCATGCCTTTCATTTCCATCCTACAATCCCACTTTCCATATTCATTTCTTCTGTTCATATGTTTTGTTTTGTGGCCCCTGAGTTTAACCAGGATGCTCCTTTGATCTTGTGTTTAGTTTGTCATTATGTGTTTGAGATTAGTGGGCTCACTGATGGATACACAAAAAAAGACACTGACTTTTCCTCTCCATGAAAATCTCAGTAGACAGTAGTTCATCCTGAATTCCCTAGTGAAATATTCTCTCCATATCATTCTATCATACACAGTTTATTGTCGCTTTCTCATGTATCCAAAAGTGTGATGTTCTTTCCCATACTAGACTGCTCATGCCGGACCCTGGATGCCTGCCTTCACAAGTATATGGTTGCTTGGAATTGCTTCTGAACTTTCTTGGATGGTGTGTTCGAACTCAGCCTTGAAGAATTGCTTTCAGGACCTAAACTTCTCCAGCTCATGTACTTCCCTTTTTAATTTCTCATTTCCATCCAACCCTACTGTTTTCATCATGGTCTCTCTTTTGTTTTCCTCCCTTGGTCCTTGGTACCCTCACTTGTCCCTTTCTCTTGGTCTCCTTTGTCCATGCTGTCTTTGTCTTCCTCTCTCCTTGTGTCCACCCACCCTTACCCCATGGCCTTGTTCAGTCTACCACTTTCTTTTCCCGATATGGGATTTTCCCGATGTCTCTGGCTGTGCTTTCTCTTATATCTACAATACAAACATTCTCCTCTACCATAAAAAGGGAATTTCTTTTAGAGAAACTGTTCAGGCAGGGCTTCAGGGCAATGCAGAGTCACTGTCTCCTCCCACAGAAGGTGCCCAGGCAACGTTAGAAAGTTGCTAGCCATGTCATCTGCAGAGGGGGCGGGGAATGTTTCCCATAGATACTGGGGCAGGACCCTGGATGTGTTTTCTTCAGAAAAGGAAAGGGAATGGAAAGAACCATTCTATTTCATCCAAGGTGGAGACCCCCAGTTTGGGTTGATAGGTGTCTGGGACAATGACTGTGATGCTTGGGGCTAGGAGACCCATCTCACTGAACAAGCCATTGAGGTCATCCAGAAGCTGAACCCCAAACCCAAATTCTTTGTTCACTGTGATGACCTCATCCACACCATGCCAAGAACTTCCTGTGGGGAAAGAACAGACCAAGGATCTGCAGCAAGTACTAATGACCTTTGACCAAGATTTGCACTATTGCTGGTCCCTGGAAACCATGACTTGGGCATTGCCTCTACAGTTGAGACCATGGATGAATACTGCCAGACACGAGGAGAAGCCTACTTCAGTTTTTGGATGGGAGTGGGGCATACTATTTCTTGTGCTCAGTTCCCAGTTCTTTTAAGATGATCCAAGTCCCCAGCAGTTGAGTATCACAGAACAGCAGAGATGCTGGCAAGCCATTGTCTTCCAGTAAATCCAGCAGTTCCTCTGAAGTACTGATGAAGATGATAAATACTTCAAACTTACCAAGGCTGTGCTGAAGGAGCTGGCAGACAAGCTCACCAGATCAGATATGAGAGTTATGTTCTTTGGCCACTTACACAGGGCTGCTGTTTTTATCTGCAATCTGGTGCCAGCTAGGCAAAGACACCCATGAGTTCTGTGTGGTGGTCATCACTGCTGAGGAAATTGTTCACTATTGCTACAGCTCAGATGAGCTGAGCAAGAGAGGAACTGACCTGAAAGAGATGATGAAGGAGTGATACTCCGTGTATTATACCCAATTATCATGCCCATGACCTTTCATCTTGGCAGAATTTTCACCGTCCCTTTTAACAATGTCTGAATAGACAGGTTGTGAGTGGATTTCTTTTTACATAAACCAAAGAGCTTGATACTATACTTAATTATGTTTAAAAGACAGATATCTTTCCTTTAAACATCCAGAAGAGAAGGCTGCAGAGGGCCATGGGAGTATACAGCAGTGACAGCTAGTGTTTAATAAGTCCATGCAGTTGGGGGAGCCCCACTTGTTAAAGCTGTGGTGTTATTGACTGTATATGACTGGTTGTTCTCTCTCTTTATCTTTCTTGAGTGCCCCTACTAAACCTCCCTAATAAGAAAAGCTGTAGGATTATTTCCACAGCCTTTTGGTGGTGTGTCTTATGCTTGTTGGGCACACATATAAGTGTGGATGGTCAGAAGAATTCTTTTGGCTTAGGCTGTATAGGTTTGATGAATGAAAATAATTCTAGGATGTTGTATGTTACTCAGACTTACAGAGGATTTTCAGTCACAGCCTTTCACAGAGGCAACTAACTTTAGACTTTAGAGCAGATTCAAAGCAGGCCTTTGGGGACAATATCTGGTTGCCCCTAGAGACAGATACACAGGGTCGTTTTCCCAGGCACTGTTTAGTGTTAGAGTTGGAAGCAACTTTAGTCTGCACGTACGCCCCAACCTCAAGGTTCAGCCAATTGTTTATTATCAGGGAATCCTCAACAACTTAGAGCAATGTACAAGATATTGTTGTTGTTCACTGGCCGGCGACTGTGACATCACTAGTCTAAAAGAAACTATGTGACTTGTCTTGGGTTTTGAGAATGGACTGGGTCCTAAACACATAGCAGAGTTTGTCTGAGTAAGAAGAGAGGCAGCAGAGCTGAGTGGGGAGGCAGAAAAGGAGCCATGTTGAAAGGGCAGCAGTGGAGGGCCAGAGAGAGAAGAGAGCAAGGGAGATTCTTCTTTTTTCTTTCTTATTTCTTTATTATCACCCCAAGTAGTATAGCTTCATTTGAACTATATGCAATATATATATATATATATATATATATGCATTTATGTAAGTATTTTTAATTTTTTTCTTTTTCAAATTTAAATTTCAAACAAGCTTATTTTATATGTCAATCCCAGTTCCCACACCCTCCCATCCTCCCTTATCACCCACACCAAACCCCCTCCCATCCTCTTTCTTCTCCCCAGGGAGGATGAGGCTTTTCATGAAGGATCTTTAAAATCTGTCATATCACTTGGAGCAAGGCCCAGGCCCTCCCCCATGTGTCTAGGCTGAGGGAGTGTCCCTCTATATGGAATGGGCTCCCAAAGTCCATTCGTATACTAGGGATAATACTGATCCACTACCAGAGGCCCCATAGACTTCCCAGGCCTCCTAACTAACACCCACATTCAGGGGATCTGGGTTAGTCTTATACTGGACCCAGCTCCTGGGTTCATGAGCTCCCCCTTGTTCAGGTCAGCTGCTTCTGTGGGTTTCTCCATCCTGGTCTTGACCAAGGGGGTCATCACTGCTCTCTGTCTGCAACTGGATTCCAATAGTTTGACCCAGTGTTTAGCTGTGGGTGTCTGAGGATGGCATATAAGCTAGTCATCAATCTCACTATCAGAGAAGGGCATTCAAGGCAGCCTCTTCACTACTACTTAGACTGTCAGTTGGGGTTATCCTTGAAGATCTCTGGACATTTCCCTAGTGCCAGATTTCTCTTAAAACCTGTAATGGCTTCCTCCACCATGGTATCTCTTTTCTTGCTGTCCTCTATTCTTTCCCTGACTCAATCTTCTTGCTATGTTATGCCTACCTCTCCCCTCCTCTTCCTCCTAACTCCCTCTCCCCTCCCCCATGCTCCCCATTTGTTTGGGAAATCTTGTCCCTTTCCTCTTCTCCAGGCAATCATGTATGTCTCTCTTAGGGTCCTCCTTGTTTCCTAGCATTTCTGGCGGTGTGGGTTGTAGGCTGGTGATCCTTTGTTCTATGTCTAAAAACCATATATAAAAGTAACTACATACCGTGTTTGTCTCTTTGTGAATGGGTTATCTCACTCACGATGGTTTCTTCTAGTTCCATCCATTTGCCTTCGAATTTCATGATTTCATATTTTTCCCCCTGCTGAGTAGTACTCTATTGTGTAAACGTACACATTTTCTACATCCATTCTTCAGTTGAGGGGCATTTAGGTTGCTTCCAGGTTCTTGCTATTACAAATAATGCTGCTATGAATACAGTTGAACAGATGTCCTTGTTGCATGGATGTGCATCCTTTGGGTCTATGCCTAAGAGTGGAATTAGTGAATCTTGTGGTAGACTGATTCCATTTTCCTGATGAACCATCATACTGATTTCCAAAGTGGCTGTACGCGTTTGCACTCCCACCAGCAGTGGAGGAGTGTACCCCTTTCTCCACATCCTCCCAAGCATAAACTGTGGTGTTTTTGTGCATCTAACATTCAGTCAAAGTTATGTCTCAGGCCATTGCTTGTTGTGATGATTTATCACATAAAATCCCCAAGAAGAAAAAGGAAAAGAATTAAATCTCTAATTGACCATCTTATATTCAAAGTTAGATTGAAAAGCATAATTTTTATCCATGCATTATGAAAACAACACAAAACTAAACAAGATTAAACAAAACAACTCTATTTAAAGGACATTAGACTATGACTCTAGTTCCTAGGACAGAATGCTTTCTCAGCAGTATTGCTGTTAAATAAGGATCAGGTTAAACAAATAGGCCGAATAGATGTTTATTCAGGGAGAAATAACTTACAACCTAGACAGATGAAACCAGCAAGTTCCACTGGATGCTCTTCTGTCTGAGTCCCACCAGCAAGAGAGCTTTTCCCAGCTCTTCCTCCCACCTCCTTCCACAGGCCACTTCCGCCCATGGCTCTACCCCCAATGGGCGTGGTCAGTGCCACAGAAGGACTATCTCACTACAATTCCCCTTTTAGTCTAAAGAAAATATTTAGGCTTAATACAAAACTATATACAAAACAGTGAATAACGAGTGTGTGTCTCTCAGGATTGGTGGAAGAATCACTATAGACTGAGACTTCCTGTGTTACTGAGCTGAGCAAACCCTGCAGGTGTCCACAGGCTTGAAATATTTGCGATGATTTGCATGAGCCCAGAGCATCCCCTTTAACTGACAGATTCTCAGATGACTGTTCACAGTCCCTGCAGGAGTCCTTCCCAGTCAGGACACAGCATGGCCATGAAGTCTCCTGCACAGGTCCTGGCAATTTGGCTACTTTGGCTCTCAGGTAAGTTGCACAGGATAGAAAAATTTTCTAGATCAGAGTATCCATCACTTCACTTCTAATCAGGGGATCCATCCCTACTATAACAGTGTTAATTATGTTAATTTTTGATTCTTTTTGTTTTGTTTTGTTTTTTCCACTGTCAGGTGCCTTATGTGATATTCAAGTGACACAGTCTCCATCCCTCCTGTCCGCATCTCTAGGAGAAAAAGTGACCATCACTTGCCTGGCAAGTCAGGGCATTAGCAATTACCTGAGCTGGTACCAGCAGAAACCAGGACAATCTCCTACACTATTGATCTATTATGCAACTGGTTTGCAATCTGGTGTCCCATCAAGGTTCAGTGGCCAATATTCTGGGAGAAGTTTCACTCTAAGCATCAGCAGCCTGGAGCCTGAAGATGTTGCAACTTATTACTGTCTTCAACATAACAGTATTCCTCACACAGTGATACAAGTCATGACATAAACCACTAAGGGAAGCAGAAGTTGAAGGCTATGCTGTCCCAGCTGCTGTTATCAGTGTGCTTATGTGCTCAGACTATTGTGTATCAAGAAGTAGTTTTGCTTGAAAGTGCCCAGATAGCTGCATATTAATCCTTCTCTCTCTCTGGTCCTCTGACAGCATTCTGCGTGCATCTACCACAACAGAGGGAATAAACTGCCCAACAATGTAGTCCCTGGAGAGGTCTGGGAAGTTCAAGCAGACACTGCTGATGCTTCAATCTGAGTATGACATTCCATAGGAGTGGCTCAACACTTATATATGGATTTCCACAGATGCTAGTGGATGGTGAAAATCATCCTTGACATCAAATTTCAGGGAGGATCTCTATTGAGCAACTCTACAGGAAATAAGAGAAAGATAAATATTGACAAACAATACATTTACAGAGTTATTCCAAGGGCATTTCCAGAGATGATCAGATCATGAGAAATCTGCCATAATAAATGGAGTTATCCTTTAATTGTTTTATTACATGAAGGAATCACAGAGAGCTGGTGAAATGTTCAAGAGTGTGCTTGGGTGGAACCTCATTGTCTACATTAGCAGTTATTCCTGGGAGATGTGTCTTACCTGACTAAGTCCTTTGCTTCCTGCTTCTTGTGTGTCATATGTTCAACAGCTTCTACCATGTGGTTGCACCATCATAATGTTCTACCACACAGAGTCTAAATTAATAGCACCAATGTGGACTGAGATATCTAAAATGGTGGTTTTGGCCATATTGTTGACCATCTGGAGCATATACTTGTATGTAGAATACCTTTTTTTCCTTCTCTCCATTTTATTCTGGAAAATGAACCTTAAAACATGATTGTTTTTGTTCATTTGAATCCTTAAGGATATAATTGTTCATAAAATGGATCATTTATCATTTTATTACTGTGCTTTGATTTCTTGCTTATTATTTGTCTGTAATTTATTAAATATCATCACAGGAGGCATGAAAATATTTCTATTAACACATTAAAAAATTAAGGAATGAAAACGGAAATTTTGCCTTTGGTTAAGGAATGTATCAGACATATCAGACCAAGGAAAAGGTATAATTCTCTCTCCTGGAGCCAATAAATGTTGACATATAGCACTTTAAGGACAACAGAACCCAGCAACCTCTCCTCAGACCACTTGGTAAATGAACCACAGAATTCAGACACATTTCAGAATACAAAATAAATATGCAAAAATATACAGAGCATTGTCATATGAAAATAGTGATAAACTAAAAAAGAAATTAAAAAATAAAAACTAAAGCATTCAGAAAAAAGGGAAAGGGGAGAGGTGAAGTTTAGATGAATTAGACTTAGAAACATATTTAAGAAAAGACTTAAGACTCTTGTTCTAAGGGGGAGCTAATGGACCCCCAGACTGATAGCTGGGAAACCAGCATTGGACCGACTCAGACCCCCTGAACATGGGTCTCAGTTAGAAGGCCTGGGCAGTCTAAGGGACCTCCAACAGTGGAAGCAGGATGCATTCCTGGTGCATAAAAGGACTTTGGGAACACATCCCCATGGAGGGATATTCCCTTAGCCTAGAGGCAGGAAGGAGTGCCTAGTCCCTACTCCTAATGACTTGACAGATTTTGTTGATCCCTCCTGGAAGGCATCACCTTCCCGTGGAGTGGTGGAGGGATGGGATGGGAGGAAGGTCAGGGGGTGAGGGTATGGGAGGGAGGGGGAACTGGGATCGATATGTAAAATAAGAAAAAATAATAAAAAACTAATAAAAAAGAAAACAAAACCACCCCCCCCAAAAGAGGTCTTTGTTCATGTAATAAAATACTGACCAAAACCATTTCAGAGAGGGAAGAGTTACTTGTCTTGCTTACAGTCCATTATTGAGGGACATTAGGGCAGTGAATCAAGCAGGAAACTGGAGACAGGAGCTGATGTAGAGAATGTGGAGCAATACTGCTTGATGTCTGCTCCTAATGGCTTGTTGTGAATAGCTTGCTCAGTTTTATTTCCTTATATATTGCAGGGTTGTCTGCCCAGGGTTGGTGCCCACATCAATCATCAATCAAGAAAGTGTCTCACAGGCTTGCTCATAGCCCAATGTAATGGAAGCACATCTTTAGCTTAGGTTTTCTTTCCTGGGTGAGCCCAGATTATGTTAAGTTGATAAATCAACCAATAAGTGCCTATATTCTTAGGTATAAAAACCTCATGAAAAATCCTAAAACATAAAGATAGAGCAAAGACATCCTGTGTTCATTGATCAGAGGAATCATTACTGTCAAAAATGTATGTACTACACTTTGGGATTTAAAATTCAGTGTAATTTCTATCAAAATAACAATGGCACTATTCACAGTAATGTTACATCAATCTAAAATCATTTGCAATCACAATTGCCCGTCCGAAGGCTTTTTCATCATTAATAAGAAGCCAAGAGACCTGGTGTGTCTTACCTTTAAACATACTGAAAAACTGTAGTAAGTAAAAAAGTATTGTACTGACATAAACACATAGACGAAGGAAGTAGATTAGATGGGCTAGAAGTAGGCTGTCAATTGATCTTTTTTATGGGAAAGTTAAGAAGAGCTAATTTGAGTATGGTCCATCTTTTAAAAATGAAATAATTTTTAAATGTTTATTATTTTTTAATTTACATGCCTATATGAATGTGTGTGTTTAAGAACACATGTGTGCAAGTACCCACAGGCGCCAGAGGAGGGCACTGGATCTCCTGCAGCTGGAGTTGCAGGTGGTTGTGAGTCACCTACCATGTGGGGCGTTCACCAGAGAAGATTGCTAGGACATAAGTTTAAGCCCATAGAAAGTCTTTATTAGCTGGCCAGTGACTACCCTGGGTGTTTGGGGGTCCCAGTGTAGCACTGTACCTTTCTCAGAGTGAGATTTAAACACAACAATGATGTTTTGGGTTGATACACTTCGGTTAACAAGAGCAGCTAGCCAGAAGTGGAAATACAGAAGCTAGAAAGCAAGGTTTGCACGTTTTGAGACTTTCCAGGAAGTTTATCTTCTTAGAAAGATTAGACCTCTCTTTTAGTTTTGGCAGATCATCAGAAATGTGATCTCCTCTCCTGACAATGAATTTGAAACAGAAGAACTCAGGGTCACTTAGATAAGATGCTACTTCATGGAAGGCTTATAGATGGCAGAATAACCCCACAATGCAAAATGTCTTCTCAGTTAATATAAAATATTTCATGTATGCATGTGTGTTATATATTATGTGCCTACTTTAGATAGTTTAATGCGTTTTAGTTGGTTCTTTTAGATTAAACTTTGTACAGTAAAACCGATTGATAAAGAGAATAAGTAAGTAAGTAATCAATCAGTAATGATAGTTTAGATCCTCCGACCTATCTTTTGGAGGACTAGATTTTGTACTGGTGTTCCAACTAATGACCAACTGTTGCCTAAATTATTTTAGCCTTTCTATGAGTCCAACTTGGTTGACAAATATTTTCTCTACCTGTCCAAGTTATATTTTGTAATATTACTATTCTTATTTGAGAATTCTATTTCATCATTGATTATTTGCTGGGGAATATGTAATCATCTAGGCTTTGTCTATTAACCTATCATTCTAGTGATCAGTAACTTAGCTGGCATAATGGCATAGGATGGCATAGCCAGTATGGTGGTATCTAGAGTCCTCTTAACGCTTTCCGTTTATTGTTTTTAGTGAAAATATAGTTGATGCACAAAGAAATACTAAAAACTCAAAATAAAAGATCTCACTCAAAATAAAGAAAACTGTAGATGTTTCATAAAATTGTATATGACTTTGCATTCATCTCATCATTTCACTTCTGGTGGTGATGGTGTGATGACACAGACTTCACTGTCCTTGCATGTCACCTCCTGAAAGCCAGTCTCCATCTCCTGTAGGGTTAGTCAGAGCCAGTTAAATACTAATAGAAACACCTATCTGAGATGGCAATTGCAGAATCCAGGCCAGTCTCCACAGTTCCTAATATAGAAGTTTTCCAAGTGTGCTTCAGGGTTCCCCAGATACATTGAGTGGCAGTAGATCAGAACTCTTTTCAAATGGAAAATTAGCAGAGTGGGGCTTGAGTATGTGAGAGTTTATTTTGTTTTCAAGGTCTACATGATCCTTCCTCAGTCACATAGATACTAACAGGAATCTCTCTGCTTAGGATGGCCTAGATGACAAGTGTGTACTTTGTTGGATGAGGTGTATAAGACATTCTTCATCTGTGAGTTGCTGGAGAGTTCAGGATAATTATTTGCTGTGGAGGAAATGTGACCACCAGTGTTCTCTCAAGCGTCATTCATTGCTAGCTAAGTGAAATGGAACAGCCATGGCATTGCTTCTATAACAGGATTATGTTGTGTGAGGGCCTCTAATCAAACAGGACCAATCTAGGGAAATCCAAATCAAGGTTCATCCCAATTAAGCATGTCTCTCTTGCTCAAAACCATTCAGCATCACAGACAAGTAACAGAAATATGCTTTGGCTAAAACCATTCCTTTACTGTTATATACTAGTTCATATTGTCCTTTTTAGGTATATATCTCATTTTAGCAAACATTAAAGTATACATCCATCTCCCTTTTGTTTTCTGTATATGTAAAATATGTTCTTAGCCGAAACATTCATACTATGTGTCTTCTATATTTACTATAGGGCTTCAGCCCAAGCTGCAGGCAGAATTGTCTGAGTGGTCTCTGTATACACATATCACATTTCTATAATTAGCAAAGCCAAGGTTTTCACTATGAAATTAAAGTTTTTAATACATTTCTTTTGTTTGAACCTCATATAAAAAAAGATTTACTTCAGCTCTCCTCTCTATATTCAAGCTAATGGAGAAGGACAATAAGATTTGAAATATGATAATTATGTATACCCTTTAGGCAACAGTGTCCCATTCATTAGTTATTGAACACAAGCTCTATCCTGCTGTTGATTAAAGGACAGGGAAATTCTCACAATACAGGTGTATTATTTGTTTTTGTATCTCAGT